AGACCTCAAGGATCACCGGTTGGCGACCGCTGATCTAAAGCACTAATTCTAAAAGATATATGCACTCTTATGTTCACTGCAGCATTACTTACAATAGCCAACATATGGAAGTAAATTAAGTGTCCGTTGATAGACAGCTGAATAAACAAGATGTGGTGGTACATATATACAATGGAATATTACTCAGCCATAAAAAGGGAATGAAATCTTACCATTTGTGACACATGGATGAACCTAGAGGGTATTAGGCTAAGTGAAATAAGTCAGACAGATAAAGACAAATACTATATGATTTCACTTATATGTGCAACCTACAAAACAAACACACACAGTAAACAGACTCATAGACACAGATAAAAAACTGATGATTGCCAGGAGGGAGGAGGGGGTTGGATGGCTGAGTGAAAAGGTGAAGGGATTAAGAGGTACAAGTTGGTAGTTTCAAAATAGTCACGGCGGTGTAAAGTACAGCATAGGGAATACAGTCAGGAATACAATAATAACTGTGTGATGTCAGATGGGCACTAGATTTATCGGGGGATCATTTCATAAGTTACATAAATGTCTACTATGCTATACACCTGAAACTAATATAATATTGAATGTCAACTGTAACTGAAAAATTTTTTTAATTTAAAAAAATATATTGTCAGTGACAACTACAGAGCTCTAGATTGTGGTTAATCTACCTACAAGCATTCGTATATTAGATTTCCTTAAATGGGAACATACCCATTAAAAATCAAACCAGGACCTTCATCGCTAAAGTACGTGTAGTCTAATAAGGTGGGAAAGAGTGAAATCGTGGTGTAGTGTGGTACATACAATTATAGTGAAAATGCAAAAGGCCAAGTGAAAAATGAAGCGGCTGGGAAACTGTCCCTAAAAGCCAAGGAAGAGGTTCGGGGTTGATACTAAGACCAAAGCACATGCAAGAAGTGGTGCACTCGCCCCGCCCACCCACAGCCTCAGGAGCCCTGGGCAGCAGGACTGGGAGGCAGGCACTGAGTGGCTGGCTTTCAGGAGTGTCTTCCCTCAAACTTCTCTCTGCCCCCTGGGAGCTCCCCGGTACACTTGTGTCCCAATATCTTCCAGCACCAACTCCGCCAATTACATTTCCCCACCTGGTATGTGAGGGTGGTACCTGCCTCTCAGAACTGTTAGGTTTAAAAGCTACATCCCGTGTGATGTGTCTGGCCCAGCACCATGCTCAGCTTCTGAGGGCTTTCAGCCACAGCCCTGGGAGAGAAGTCTGTCTCCACATCCCCTGCTTCCAGGTGTCCTTCCCAGGAAAGCAACGCAGCACGTCACGGCGACATGGGCCTCCATAAAGGTTTACAAGGACGTAGTGAAGGCCCCCGGATTGCTGAGTGCTCAGAATTCCCCACTCGATTCTTGCCCAAATCAGAGGGGCTTTGAGTAGGACCAGTTCTACTCCCACCTGGGTATGGAACTTTGGGCAAGTTTGTTCCCTTGTCCAGCTCCTCCATCTGATTCCTGAAGGAACACTGGGTCCCCCTCAGCATGTACCAGTATTATCGACCACAGGCCAGGCACTGCGCCCGAGCACAGGGCAGGTCCTCTGCCTTCCAGGGCACAGGGTCTGAGGAAGTGGAGGGACGCAGTCCCAGCAGCTCTAGTACAAGGCAGCATGCGTGGGCTGGCGGAAGCGTGGAGTGCCGTGGGAGCCGTGGAAGGGTGGTGGCGTGCACAGGAGGAATGGAGGGCCTGCGACCTCTGGGGACTGGAAGGGCTTCTTGTGCATCTAGGAAGCACTCCAGCAAACGGTGAACAACGCAAGCCCGGGGTTGGAGCTTAGGCTACTAGGACATGTTTACGGAGGAGTCGTAGATTGGAGTTAGAGAGGAGGGTGCTGGGTGTGGGCACTGGGACCCCTCCAGTGGTGCTGAAAGGGGAGGTGGAGTTGGATCTGCGGATGCAGAGGCCTTAGGCTAAGCTCAGGGAAGGGGATGGCTGCACCAACACTTCTTTATTCATTGGTTTTCTCCATTCAACTCTTCTCCATTCATTGCTGTTCATTCAACAAACATGCATTCCTTATTTACCTTGTGACAAGCACTCATCAGTTGCTGAGGGGAAAAAATGAATGAGAGTTTCTTTCCTCGAGGAAATCATAGTCTGGTGGAGGAGACAAGTGACAGTGGTGGGTAACACAGATAACAATGGCTACCTGCTCAAGAACAGCGCTAAGCAGGTGACTGATGATGCTCCAAGGTAGAGGCTGGTGAGGAGCCTTTCGGGCTGAGTTTGAGGAAGGAAGGAGTAGGAGCTGGTCAGCTGGAAGTAAGAACTCTTCAGACAGCCAACAGCACAACAAAGCCCAGAGGCACGGCTGCATGGGGCAGGCTGGGAACGCTGGACAGTCTGGCTCGAGTGGAAGCCTGGAGTGGGGGTGGGGATGGGGGGGTGGACCTGCGGGAAGAGATTGGAGAGATGCTTTGGAGTCGGAATGTGGCTTAGTCCTGAAGGCAGTGAGACAGTTTTGAAAAAGATTACACTGGGCAGTGAGGAAAGTAAATGTCAGTGGAATGAGAAGCCTCTGGGCAGATGGTAGGGAGGCTTTTTCTAACTCTTTTGCTAGAAAAATCAGGAGGCCTGAATTGGGTGGATTCAGTCGGACCTGTGGGGTTATTGAGTGAAAACGCATAATGTGGGTAACAGGCTTGAATGACTGGGTTCTATTTTCCAAGGCAGGAGGGTCAGGAGGAAAATGATGAATTTGTTCTTGAGTATGTGTAAGGCTACTGCAGGACACCTGTCATGCTGACCCACCACAGCCCCACCTTCACCTTAAAAATCCTCCCAGGGGTGGTGGGGGCCAATTCCCATCAGGCCTCCTGGCACACTGGCTCCAGGCGGAGCAGCCTACAGTCCCTTGAACTTGCCAGGTTGTGTTCTACTTCCTGTGCCTCTAACTGAAACACCTTTTCCCTTCTCTTGCCTTTTGCCTGGCCAATTGCCAGACTCGCTCAAAGGTAACATCTTTGGAGCAGCGTCCCTTGGCATTGTGTACCACCCGCCGCCCCAGGGAGAGTTAGTATACATCCGTCCACAGCGTTTACTCACCCGCGTGTGTCCCCTCCTCCACCCCTGCCCCCCTCACCCAGGGCAGGAGGCATCCCTGTATCCATTATGCCTGGCCAGCCCAGACGGAAAGTAGGAGGACATCAGTGCATGTTTGTTACATGAAGTAATGCAGATGGGAGCATCCAGCAGGGAGTTGGACATTCCAAGCATCAAAATGAAAGGCACCACAGACAAATGTGAACCACGCGACCCCTTCTGCCTGCATTGGGCCGCCCCTCCTCTGCCCCAAGCACGCATCACCTCAAGGCCAAGTGGCCAGTGAACTAGGCCAGGGCTGGCGGCTTGGTTAGGTGTGTGGTTGGCGTAGAAAGGGAGAAAGAAAACAGAGGAGGGCTGCTGAAGGTTGGGTGACTGAAATGGATGCAAGTTTACATGAGAGCCTGGCCTAGACACCTGTTTCCCTTCCTCATTCTAGGCCTCCGGGCCCTGTTCTCTGCCGCCATCTGGTGGCCACGCTTGTAAGTAACAAGCTCCTCATGAGCTGGAAGAGCTTGTATAAGGCAGGAGCTGCGTGGATTGTCCTCAGGGGTTATGACACCCTCGCCCTGCAGATTTAGCCTGCAAATTGTATATATACAACATCTGCCTTATTCCAGTGAGAAATTCCAAGAGCTTTTCATCCGATTCTTAGCAGCTTATAGCCCCCAACAGGGGTCAACTCCAACAGACAGATTCACTACTACAAAGGATTGTTCTAGAATAGTGACTGCTTTTTTACCCCCAACTGAAATCCATTGAAAAATCATAATGTAAGAGAGAGAAGACCAGACCTGGATCCCTACGTTCTTAGAACCTCATCCTCCAGTTTCCCGAGGCACCTACACAGAACACAAAGTCCAGCTCAGAAACCACGCTTATAGACCAGAGGCTTATGCTGCTTCAGGGCCAAATGGACCCTTTGAGACCCACTAGGTCATGCCTTGTGGAGGTCAAACCTTATAGAGGTCACACCTTGTGGAGGTCACACCTTGTGGAGGTCACACCTTGGGGAGGTCACACCTTGTGGAGGTCACACCTTGAGGAGTCACACCTTGTGGAGGTCACACCTTGAGGAGTCAAACCTTGGGGAGGAACTTAGTGAAGCTCACAGAACATATCAGTGGCCTATCTGGTACCTAACACATATCCCTGTACTCCTAGGTCTTTAAACTGCTTGGTTTTACCTTATTGCCCAAAAACCTAAATTAAAAAACACACACAAAAAAAAAACACACACACAACTCTTTCTATCCTGAATATAGTTCCCAAACAGGAAACTATTTTCCAATAGATATTTTGGCTTCCTTACAAATGCCTGTCAACAAGCCATAATACACAGCGGAAAATAAATCTATATCTAACATCTGAATGACTCCTTATGACTTACATCAGCACCTGTAGGATAACTTATTTTACAATGGGAAGACAGAGACTTGGAGGAAATGAGTTGTTTGCTATTTTCTGACGACTTTAGGGTTCTTTTTTACTGTCTCTCTGTCTTTGTATTCAAATGTGTATATTTTGCCTTAAAACAGTGATCAAGTTAGCAGTATAACTGGCTTCTTGATGTGGGAGTGTTGGTAAGACCAGCCCCCGCTACTCACAGCCATTTGGGGGTAGCGGGAAGACTAAAGGCTGACATTGATGGAACATCTGTATACCAGTCTAGTTTCTGAATAACCTTCAAAGTAGGTGTTTAATCACCATTGTTGAAGATGCATAAACTGAAGCTCTGGGAGAGAACGTGCCTTATCCAAGGTCACACAGCTAGTAAACTGAGGCAAACCTCAGGCCGGCTGGCCTCCACAGCCTGTGTTTCTCCCGCACCAAGGAGCTGCACAGGGTTTGACCTCCCTGGGTGGGCAGTCCTGGCCTCCTCTAACCACCTGCCCCTTCCCTTCTTTCTCTCTTAGGAGTGCCAGCTTCTCTCAGGGCACCAGGGCCTCCTTCCTCATGAGGAGTGACACAGCTGTACAGAAACTTGCCCAGGGCAACGGACACTGTGTCAACGGGGTCAGCGGTCAAGTCCATGGCTTCTATAGCCTCCCCAAGCCGAGCCGGCACAACACAGAATTCAGAGACAGTGCCTACGACCTGCCCCGGAGCCTGGCCGCCCATGGCCACACCAAGGGCAGCCTCACAGGCTCCGAGACGGATAACGAGGACGTGTACGCCTTCAAGACGCCCAGCAACGCCCTGTGCCGGGAGTTCGGGGACCTCCTGGTGGACAATATGGAGGTGCCGGCCACCCCCAACTCGGCCTACCAGATCCCTAGGACCTTCACCCTGGACAAGAACCACAATGCCATGGCAGTGGGTGCTCCTGGGGACTCGGCCATAGCTCCCCCACCCAGACCCCCCAAGCCAAGCCAGGCAGAAACACCTCGCTGGGGCAGCTCTCAGCAGAGACCCCCCATCAGTGAGAACAGCAGATCGGTCTCTGCCGCCACCATCCCCAGGCGCAACACCCTCCCGGCCATGGACAACAGCCGGCTTCACCGAGGTCAGTGCAAGCCCAGCTGAGGCCCAGAGGGAGGGGAGGTAGCACGGGGCTTCTCAGCAGTTTGCTAGTCTGTAGCCATGCGTGCCCAGGAGACGTGAGGACCAGACTGATCACTGACATGGTTTAGACATCATCCATCCAGCACTGGAGGCTGTTAGTGACACCCACATGGTGAGAGTGTAGCAGACCTGCCTCAGAGAAACTGATATCCTACAAGGGAGATAGAACAGTCTTGTTTAACCACATTACAGCATATTATGGGTTTTGGAAATCCAAATCATAGTATTTTATTCATTTATCAATCAAGCCAAAGATTGCAAAAATCAACTTAGAGGTCCAGTCCAAACTGGAGCCAAACCTACGTGGATGAGCAAATCTAATCTAATAAAAGAGAAACATGCAAATTGACTGTACCTTCGCTATGCCCCCAAGCCACGCCCACCAGCCAATCAGAGCGACTATATGCAAATCAGCCCAACCTAGATGGCGGCTGGCAGCCATGGAGCTGGAGCAAGCAGGAGGCTTGGTTGCCCCGGTGATGGAGGAAGCCAAGCTTCCCGCCTGCCCTGGCCTGCTGTGGGCTCTGCTAAAGGCAACAAAGTTTCAATTATAGAAGATAAATAAATCCCAGATACATGCTTCCAGCCAGCCTCCACTGGGAGCTTGGGTGGCTGGGGGCCGTGGCCAGCCTGAAAGCGGCCCTCAGCCCCTCACCCAAGCTGACCAGGCACCCCAGTGGGGACCCCCACACTGAAGGTGCAGTGGCCAGCCTGCAAACAGCCATCAGCCCCTCACCCAGGCTGGCCAGGCACCCCACGGGGAACCCCTACCCTGAAGGGGCTGTGGCCAGGCTGCAAACAGCCATCAGCCCCTCACCCAAGCTGGCTACACCCTCAAGGGGTGAGGGTCCCTGCTGGGGGGCATGACCACCCTGCAAACAGTCCTCAGCCCCTCACCCAGGCTGGCCAGGCACCCCAGCAGGGACCCCCACCCCTGAAGGGCTGTGGCCAGCCTGCAAACAGCCATTAGCCACTCACCCAGGCTGGCCATGCACCCCAGCAGGACCCCCCTCCCTGAAGGGCGTGTGGCCAACCTGAAAACGGCCCTCAGCCCCTCACCCAGGCTGGCCAGGCACTCCAGCGGGACCCCCACCCTGATCCGGGACACCCTTCAGGGCAAACCAGCCAGCCTCCACCCATGCACCAGGCATATAATAAAAGGGTAATATGCAAATTGACCCTAACAGCAGAACAACTGGGAATCACTGGTCACTATGACACACACTGACCACCAGGGGCAGACGCTCAATGCAGGAGCTGCCCTCTGGTGGTCAGTGCGCTCCCACAGGGGTAGCTCTGCTCAGCCACAAGACAGGCTGACGGCTGCCAGCACAGCAGTGATGGCGGGAGCCTCTCCCACCTCCTCAGCAGCGCTAAGGATGTCTGACTGCAGCTTAGGTCTGGTCCCCGCTGGCAAGTGGACATCCCCCAAGGGCTCCTGGGCTGCCAGAGGGATGTCTGACTGCCAGCTTAGGCCCGATCCCCCCTGGGAGTGGGCCTAAGCCAGCAGGTGGACATCCCCCGAGGGGTCCCAGACTGCGAGAGGGCACAGGCCGGGCTGAGGGACACCCCCGAGTGCACAAATGTTTGTGTACCGGGCCTCTAGTATTAAAATAAAATTAGATCTTCAGAACATTTCCTAAGTCCCCCTTGAATCTCTGTGTAAAGTCTGAACTAACTTCGACTGTCACTCGTTTTCCACATAGAGTACTCCAGCCCTGCACATAATCTCCTCTGTTCAGTGAAAAAGTCTAGCATATTCATGCTTTTCATTTGCATTTGCTTTGTAACTTGCAAAGCCTGTTTTATATCTGCTCTGTTGTTGAAGCCAGTAGTACCCTGAGAATTTGATGGGACAGAGCCTCATCTCCGTTCCACGTGAGGCCTGAGGTAGTTGAGACACTTGTTCAGGGGCAGAGATGGGCCTTGGACCTGGCCCTGACTCCTGGCTCAGCACTCTGCAGTCTTGCAGTGCATCACCTGTTTGATCAGTCACCCCGCCCTTTGGGACAGAGATGGCAGGGACACAGAAAACATGACCCTACCCTTCAGAGAGCTCACACACAGGTGGAGAAGTAAAATCATGTGTGTACATCAGTCAGGAGTCAGTGGTGGCCGGGTGAGCGGCCCGGGCGGTAAGGGCTGTGGTTAGAGGAGAGGTGCATAAATGAGGGTGAAGTGGTTGGGGCTCCACGTAGATGCCAGCACTGGAGCTGGGAGCCTGGGAGGAACTTCTGAGCTGCAGGGAGATGTGACAGGGTAATGCCTGATCCCAGGGCGGGGTGGAGTGGCTTCTGGAGTCTCAGCAACACGGGAAGGGTCTGGGGGAGGGTCTAGGGGAGTGTCCACACACAGGAAACCGTGTGTGCATCTGGTCTTCCTTCCTCTGCCACAGCTTCTTCCTGCGAGTCCTATGACCACCCTCAGCGAGGCGGAGAGAGTGCAGGCCGCTCTTCAGAGTCCATGAGTGACGGAGTCAGTTCTTTCCTGGTGAGTGGCCCCAGCCAGGCGTCCTCCGGCCGGCTCAGATGGGATAAGGTCACCCGAAGAGAGATAGCATCTCCCTCTTAGGGCCCTGTCTAGTTCTTGTCTCAGTTCAGAGCCCAGGGCTGAGTTTTGAGTTTTGTTTGGTTTTTTATCTTCACCTGAAAATATGTTTATTGATTTTCAAAGAAGGGAGAGGGAGAGGATAAGAAACGTCCATGTGAGAGGAAGATCGATCCATTGCCTCCCGTATGCGCCCTGATCAGGGATGGAACCCACAACCTTCAGGTATACAGGACGATGCTCAAACCACTGAGCCACCCAGCCAGGGTTCCCTGGATTGAGGAACCTGCTGTAGAGGAAGTGTGTGTATTTAGGTACACTAGACCACAGGCTCACCAACCCTGTGGGTAAACAGGAAGGTCTAAATGCAGAGGGCCCAGGCTCTGGGATGGCGGATCTCAGGTAGCATCCTCACCCAGCAGGTCTCCCCTGGGGGAGTGGCTGTGTGACTACAGGCATAATTATGGCTTGAATGTAGGATCCCAGGCCGCCCTCTGCAGGGGCTGACCACAGTTCTGCAAGGTGTCAGGCCCCAGCTGAGCAGACTGGGCCTGGCTTCAGGTGCCTAGAAATTAGGTAACCAATGCAGAAGCAGCTTAATTCTACTTCTGGATGCACAGGGCAAGAATTGAAGGAAGGCTGTGGTCAGGGTTGCTGCATTGCACACTCTGGCAGCTCTGCCTGCCCCATAGTCACCCTGAGAGCTGGCCTGGGTAGCGCAGCTGGCCCAGCCCTCACCTGCCAGGGCCAAGGCCTCTAATATGCTCCTGGCCCAGCGCAGGGCCTGACACACTGACTTCCCAATGGTGAGTCCACACTGACGTGGAGGGAGGTCCTGAACTAACCTATGCAGCCATGGCCTGTGCTGCCCTCTGCCTGGGGCAGATGGAAAGCCTCATGGGCCCAGCCACTAAGGAGATTTCATGCTAAACATTTATCAAAAATTACAAGGGCGCCCCAAGGGAGCCTGAGATCTAGAAGGTTCCCACAGGGGGACTTCCTGTTGCCCACTCTTTCTTTGATTTCCCAGGGTCTGCCTTATAGCTTCACGGCACACCTCACTGGTCATGCCTTTTCCTCCTTGGTGCACAGGGTCCTCACCCCTGTGGTTTCTTCTTGCCAGTGATGCTGTATTTTCTTTCACTTCTCCCTCCTAGCCGGGGGAAAACACTCATAGGGCCGATCAGACAGCACCAATTTCCGAAGACAACTATGTGCCCATGAATTCCCGGCTCCTCCACTCTGCTGGTCTTGGGAGCGAGAGGGTGACAACCTCTCAGAGCGTGTACTCCCCATGAGCCCAGGAACCCATTCTCTTGGACCCCATCGGTTACCCTGGCGAAACGCCTTTTCTATTTTTTGAGGGCTTCCAGGCCGGGTGGATTTGATATCCTGTC